CCACAGGTGCCCAGCTATTTTTTGGTTGCAGCCGTCATTGTTGTTTGGCAGGCCCGGGCTGGATTCGAACCCGCCACCTTGGGTGTACATGGCTGGCGCCCTAGCCACTTGAGCCACAGGCGCCGAGCCATGAACCAACTTCTGCTAGCTTCAAACGTTTCTCTGAAGCTTTTTCACTTGTTTCAGCCTTCATAGAATTGAGAGTTAGGGCCTTTCTCTGGATTAGGTTTTGTCTCAAGGTAACATCATGGCTGGTTTGATCTGCTATCCAGAACACTATAATCTTCTCCATATTTACAATAAGGCTATTTCACTTTTTTTTATTATTTATGTGCTCACTAGAGTAGCACTTGTTACTTCCTCCAAGAACTTTTCCTTTACTTGGCTACTATTTGGTACAAGAGGCCTACCTTTCAGACTATACTGGCTTTCGACATGACTCTCTTACTAAGCTTACTCATTTCTAACTGATTTAAAGTGAGAAAAGTGTGACTCTTCCTTTCCACTTGAAAGCTGAGAGGCCACTTGTAGTATTATTAATTGGCCTAATTTCAATATTGTTATCTTTCAGGGAATAGGTAGGCCCAAGGAGAGGAAGAGAGAGATGGGTAATGGCTAGTTATTGGAGCAGTCAGAACACACACATTTACTACGTTCCCCATCTTTTAAGTGCATGGTTCATGATGACCCAATATAATTATAATGTAACATCAAATATCATAGATTAGATAAATACAGTAGACAAATTAATAATAAAAAAGTTAGAAATATTTTAGGAATCCCCAGTATGTTACAGAGACATGAAATGAAGCGAGCACCTGGTGTTTTAACAAACCTTCAATTTGTTAAAACAAAAAAAATCTGTAAAACACAATTAAACAAGGTATACTTATATTCTGAACTAATCCAAAGTAAAATTTGAAGAATATCTGGTTTTAATTCTTCAAGTAGGTATTCCTTGCATTGTTGAATAACATTTTCATAAACAAAGAGTTTAATAAAATTAGTACATGTCAGGGATATTTCTGGTAATAAATGTTATTGCCACCTTCCTTGTCCCTCTAACCTCTCATCCTGGCCAGGCCACTTCTGCAGAGAACTTTGATTTAAGTGCCGTGTCCTGTACTGAGTATCACTTTGGCCTGACCCATCATGGGAGTGCAGAGGTTGGCAGAATTTGGGGGTGATTCCAGATGTGGATGCTAGCACTTACCAGAAGCTAAGTGCTGAATGATGAGTTTGTGGCAGCGGTTCCAGTGCCCAGCTTTAAATAAATAGAGGGCCTCCAAGTGTTTGTCAGATTCCATGTGTGCCCGTACCGCTTTGGCCTCATAAATCCACTCAGCAGGCACACAAAGCTTCTGGGTAAGGAAAGTCTCCTTAGCCCAAGACTCAGGGGTGTCCAATAGTTGGCAATGCCGGGTAAGCAGCTCTCGAACAGCCTTTTCACGCATGCTGTATGAAGAGAGATAAACTAGATTAACTCCCATCCTCATTCATGGAGAAGGTTGTCCCAGAAAGCTTAGATGAACCCCTGAGGCAGAATCTCAAACAGCAGATATAAATTCTTAGTGAATCACTTCACTTGACTAAAGCAAACAAAATGCCATCAGACCAGCAATTTTTTTTTGAAAAAAATGAAATTCTAAGCATATTAAATTTCCAAAGTCAAGATAGTTGGAAAGTTGAGGACAACTGATGACCCTAGTACATGGTGGGGAGTGGAGGGTCACTGTGTGTGACACATCTCTTGGAGGCAGGACACAATTATAAGAGGGACTTTACCTAACAAATGCAATCAGTGTAACCTGGTTCTCTGTACCCTCAAATGAATCCTCGACAATTTAAAAAAAAAAAAAGTTGGGAAGTTTAATACCCTAGGGGAATGCCAATGCCTAGAAAAGACTTCCCCTAGTTAAGATCTCTTATTTCCTATCTAGTAACATTTCCTTGTCACCACCTATAATACCAAGAATCAGGATAGGGAGAATTCTGATTCAGTGAAAAGGCATGCTAAGTTCATTTCTCTAATCTTCTCCTTTTCCCTTTCTACTACATGGTCAGTATGAGCAAACAATACAGAAGAATCTCCATAGCTGACCACCTCCCAACACTGACTGCCTTCTTAAATTAACCTAATTTTCATAGACCACACAAGCACCACATGGACACATCAGTACAGAAGGCTAGTTGCTTATGCTGACCACCTCTATATGTTGACCTGTTTGTTACAGTCCTCGGGCAGTCAATTTAGAGAGGTTCTATTGTAGTTTCTAAAGCTAATGTCTTTTCTAGGTCTTTCTTTTATCAGGCCATCAGCCTTCTTAATTTACTCTCTATGTGTAGATTAAGGCACCCTGAGGAGAGTCCTTTTATGCCTAGGACAGAAAACTAGTCTTTGTCTTTGCCAGAAAAATTTTTTGTTTTTTTTTAAAGACAGAGTCTTATTCTGTCACCTTGGGTAGAGTGCCATGGAGTCATCATAGCTCACAGCAACCACAAACTCTTAGGTTCAAGCAATCCTCTTGCTTTAGCCTCCTGAGTAGCTGGGACTACAGGGCCCCCCTCAACACCTGGCTAATTTTTCCATGTTTTAGTCAAGATAGGGTCTTGCTCTTACTCAGGCTGGTCTCAACTTTGCTCTACCTATAATCATTTAATTTTGAACCAAAACTAGTCACCTCATCTTGGACTCTTTTATAAACTTTTAGGCTACTCAGAGACTCCCAATCTCAGCAAAGCTGCCTCCTTTTTAATACTTTTTTCAGGAAACAGGATCTCCTTCCCCATAGCCAACTCTAAAACACTAGTCATCTTATCAGCTGGCCTTTAGCATGTGAAATCTCTCATGAGTACATTTAAATAAACTCAAAGGAATAGTCTGGGGTCATTTCAGTTCCTGTTAAGAAGTAAGACATAAGAGAGAGTGCTTAATGTAGCAGTTCTCAACCTGTGGGTCGTGACCCCATTGTAACAATGAAAATACATCCTGCATATCAGATATTTACATTACGATTCATAACAGTAGCAAAATTACAGTTATGAAGTAGCAACAAAAATAATTTTATGGTTGGGGAGGTCACTGCAACATGAGGAACCCTATTAAAGGGTTGCAGCATTAGGAAGGTTGAGAACCACTGGTTTAACGAGAAGCCTATACTAGATGTTTTGTATGTTTACTCTTTTAATCCCACAGTCACTTTTCTGTAGGGACTTGTTATGATTTCACAGATTAAAAACCATTACATGGCTCGGCACCTGTGGCTCAAGTGGCTAAGGCGCCAGCCACATACACAAGGTGGCAGGTTCGAATCCCCAGCCCGGGCCCGCCAAACAACAATGATGGCTGCAACCAAAAAATGGCCAGGCGTTGTGGCGGGCGCCTGTAGTCCCAGCTACTTGGGAGGCTGAGGCAGGAGACTCGCTTGAGCCCAGGAGTTGGAGGTTGCTATGAGCTGTGATGCCATGACACTCTACCCAGGAGGATAGCTTGAGGCTCCGTCTCAAAAAAAAAAAAAAAAACCATTACATGCAGCATAATGATTAAGAGCATAAACTCTAGAAGTGAGTTGGAAACCTCATCGTGCCATTACTTAAGGGGCAGGTTGGTGGCAATAGATGGCGAGAGGAGCTAGGCAGGAGATTTAGAAAAAGCAGGGACTTTCTATCAATCCATAAAATCAGTGTCATAGATCCACTGACAGCTCAGCCAACACTACTTCTGTATAATTCTCAAACATGCCACATGTATATGAACCTATACCTAAGTTATTAAGACTATCACTTCACTTGGGCATATACTTCCATTTTCACATCATTATTTCTTATTCTAATTTTACAGATTCTTTGACTTTTTTTTTTTTTTTTTTTTTTTGCAGTTTTTGGCCAGGACTGGGTTTGGACCCGCCCACCTGGGCATATGAGGACCGGCGCCCTACTCCTTTAAGCCACAGGCCCCACCTGATTTTTTTTTTTTTTTGAGACAGAGCCTCAAGCTGTCACCCTAGGTACAGTGATGTGGCATCACAGCTCACAGCAACCTCCAACTCCTGGGCTCAAGCGATTCTCCTGCCTCCACCTCCCAAGCAGCTGGGACTACAGGTACCCACCACAACGCCCGGCTATTTTTGATTGCAGCCATCATTGTTGTTTGGCAGGCCCGGGCTGGATTTGAACCCGCCAGCTCAGGTACATGTGGCTGGTGCCTTAGCCACTTGAGCCACAGGTGCCGAGCCACCACCCAGTTTTTTGACTCATTTTCTTTTTTTTTAGTAGAGATACTCTTACTTTATCGCCCTCAGTAGAGTGCCGTGGTGTCACACAGCTCACAGCAACCTCTAATTCCTAGGCTTAGGTGATTCTCTTGCCTCAGCCTCCAGAGTAGCTGGGACTTCAGGCACCTGCCATAATGCCTGGCTATTTTTTTTTGTTGCAGTTTGGCCAGGGCTGGGTTTGAACCCTCCACCCTCAGTATATGTGGCTGGTGCCCTACCCATTGAGCCACAGGCGCTGCCCTTTTTTGACTCTTTATCTCTAAACTTTCTCTGATCATTGCTACTCACAGAGATCTCTTTTCATTTCTCAGACTGCTGAGAGGCCTTGTGATAAATATTGTAATTTGGTATTTAATAACACACAGTCTCATTTTTAACTGCTTCACATGAACACAGAGATAGTGTGGGCTGAGGGTTTAACTGCCTTGACGTTTATGTGCCTGGATAGAATACTTATCCTAAATTAATTCCTTTGGCATTGACCCAGAGTAGTACGTACACCCAATGGGTTCAATGGCTTCTCACTCACCTTGAGTTGTCAATGTGCAGGAAGACAAAGATGGCCCACTCCCAGAGCCCGTCGCTTTCCAGTTGGCCAGCGTAACTGGCCTGCAGCACACCCTCACACTGCTCTGAGAGATGGGTATAGTTAAGAGCCCTTAATACTTCCCACAAGTGCCAGCTTAGGCGGTAGTCCAAAGGATCTGCGGTTATGCTTCGAGGCTCTAACAGCTGGTTGAGATCATAATGTCTGCAAAGAAGAATGTTTTGAGAATTACCGTATCTAGCCAGCAGACTTTCTACACCGACAGGTTAACTATTCTGGTTATGTCTCAGAAGACAATAAAAGAACATGAGGTCAAAATCATTACAGGCCTTCTTTCCCACTGAGATTTTAGACAATACGAAGAAACATGTCACCTTTTTTACTAATCGGTTTGTTGGTAGGTATTGGTTCGGCATATACATTTTACCATCCTGATATACAGAGCATTCAAAATCCTAACCCATCCATCCTCTCATTATAGTCTATTACTTTTTTTTTTTTTTGAGACAAAGTCTCACATTATGTCATTCTTGGTACAGTGCTGTGGTGTCACAGCTCACAGTAACCTAGAACTCTTGGGCTTAAGCGATTCTCTCGCCTCAGCCTCCCAAGTAGCTGGGACTACGGAGGCCTGTCACAATGCCTGGATAATTTTTTTGTTGTTGTTACAGTTGTTATTGTTGTTTAGCTGGCCAAGGCTGAATTTGAACCCACCATCCTCTGTGTGTGTGGCTGGTGCCGTAACCACTGCACTATAAGCACTGAGCAGTGCATTGCTTTTCTTAACCATTTAAAAAACATACTCACTGGCTTTGGTGCCTGTGGCACAGTGGTTACAGTGCCAGCCATGTACATTGAAGCTGGCGAGTTCAAACCTGGCCCGGGCCAGCTAAACAAGGACAACTGCAACAAAATATAGCTGGGCATTGTGGCAGGCGCCTATAGTCACAGCTACTTGGGAGGCTGAGGCAAGAGAACTGCTTAACCTCAAGAGTTAGAGGTTGCTGTGAGCTGTGATGCCAGGGCACTCTACTGAGGGTGACATACTGAGACTCTCAAATAAAAAAAAAAAGAAAACCTTCGTATTTACCTTAGTATCTTTCAGATTGTTTTATCAACCTAAAGTGGTTGTGTGCTAATTCTCCTATTTGTTTGAACAATTAAGTGGTCTTCATGATGATTATTTCCTTTTCTGGTTTCAAATTTTTATCTTTGATTTTGTCATTAGTCGGTATTATTCTTTATACAGGAATCCAGGTCCCCTGGATTTGGAAGTATCCCTGCAGAGATATTTTACTTTTTTTCTGCTGGCGGCGCAGGGATTTCAATGGCCCTGAACCAGTTTATATGATAAAATGGTAGCCTGTAATCCCAGATGTAAGATGAGTATTAACTAAGACCCTGTGCCTGCAAGTTTTAAAGATCTAAATCTTACAGACCAATAACTTTTCCTCAGGATCTCAGACATTTTACAATTTCTTAACATCTCCCTCAGTAATGAGTCAAGTTTTTCTAGAACAGTGCTAGTGAACAGAACATGAGATAGTAAAGTTCTAGAATCTGCCTCAGCTAATTTAATAGACACTAGCCACATATGGATAGTAAACACTTGAAATGTAGCTAGCATGAGTAAATGTTAACTTAATTCAAATTAAGATATCCATATGTAAATAGTGGCTGTTCTATTAGATAGTACAGTTCTAGACCATTTTTTAAGAGATAGGGTGTGAATTTTATCCAAGGACTTTAGTCATTGCAACTCTATTTTTCATGAGAACAAGGCTATGTTTACTATCTCATTCTGGCTTTGTTCTCACTCTCCATTTCCAGCACTCTGAGATAGCCTTTCTTTTATAGACATAAAAACTGACATATAACACACAATTTTGACAAGTTTTGACATATGTAGACATCTGTAAAATCATGATTCAGAAAATAAACATATCCATCATCTCCAAAAGTTTCCTTATGTCCCTCCACCCTTTCCCAGGCAATTGATCTGCTATCAATTCATAGAACTTTATATAAATTGAAATCATATAGTAAATACTTTGATAGGGTATCCTTTTAAGCCTTATCGTCTTTCAATATCTTGTGATTCCCCATGCTAATGCATACACTAACAGTTCCACTCCTCTTTATTGCTGAATAGCATTTATTCCACAATATAATGGACCACAACTTGTTCACCTCTTGACAGAAATTTGGTTTCTTCCCATTTTGGGAAGTAAACTTTGTAAGTAAAGTTGCCATAAACATTCATATACAGACATATGTTTTCCTTCCTGTTGGGTAATTACATACCTAGGAATGGAATGGCCATAACTTATGGTAGGTATATGCCTAACTTATAAAAAGTTGCCAAACTGGCTTTCAAAGTGGCTGCATCATTAATTTATTATATATATATATATGTGTGTGTGTGTGTGTGTGTGTGTGTATATATATATATATTTTTTTTTTTACTAGCAGTGTGTAGGAATTCCATTTTCTGTTCTTTTTTTTTTCTTTTGCAGTTTTTGGCCAGGGCTGGGTTTGAACCCGCCCCCAATGGCATATGGGGCCAGTGCCCTACTCCTTTGAGCCACAGACGCTGCCCCTATTTTCTTTTTTTCTTTGAGACAGAGTCTCACTATGTCGCCCTCGGTAGAGTGCTGTAGCATTACCCTTCACAGAAACTTCAAACTCTTGGGCTTAAGCAATTCTTTTACCTCAACCTCCCAAGTAGCTGGGACTACAGGTGCCTGCCACAGCACTAGGCTATTTTTTATTGTTGTCATTGTTTTGGCAGGCCCACGCCGGGTTTGAATCCACCAGCTCCGGTATATATGGCAGGTGCTGTATCCACTGAGCTACAGGCACCAAGCCAGTGTGTACGAATTCTAGTTGCTCCACATCCAGATTAACACTTGGAAGAGAAAGACTTTTAAATTTTCAGCCATTCTAACAGGTGGGAAATAGTATCCCATGATGGTTTAAATTTGTATTTCCCTGATGGCTACTGATGTTGAATATCTCTTTATGGGCTTATTTGATATCTGAGTCTTCTCTGACAAGGCATCTGTATATTATCCAATTTTTAAATAGAAATGTTTGCTTTCTTATTATTAATTTTTCAGAGTTATATTATTTTGGATACAAGTCCTTTATCAGATATGAGTCACAGGTATCACCTAGCCTGTAGTTTCTCTTGTTATTCTCTTGATAGCCTTTCAATGAGACGTAGTTTTAAATTCTGTTAATGTTTAATTTACCAATTATTTTCTTACATGAATTATGTGATGTCTAGCTAAGAAACCTTTGCCTAAGCCACAGCTGCAAAAATTTTCTGCTTTGTTTTCTTCTAGATAGTTTATAGGCAAGTTTGACATTTAGGTCTATGATCCATTTGGGGCTGGTAACTGCAGAGGTAACCACTAAAACCAAAAGCTGGTTCTCTGAGTGGGTGAATACAATTGCTAAACTCTAGGTAGACTAGAAAAGAAAGACCCAAATTACCAATAGGGGAAGTAAAGAGACACTGTTAGAGATTCTACAAATATTTAAAAAGAAAAAGAGGGCCCAGGTGCGGTGGCTCACGCTTATAATCCCAGCACTAGGGAGGCTGAGGCAGGTAGATTCCCTGAGCTCACAGATTCAAGACCAGACTAAGCCACAGCGAGACCCCGTCTCTAAAAATAGCCAGGTGCTATGGCAGGCACCTGTAGTCCCAGATACTTGGGAGGCAGAGGCAAGAGGATCACGTGAACCCAAGAGTTTGAGGTCTCTGTGAACTAAGATGCCATGGCATTCTACCAAGGGTGACCAAATAAGACTGTCTCAAAAAAAAAAGAAAAAGAAAATTATGGAAACATTATGAATAACTTTATCCTAATAAATTTGGTGAAAAGAATTCTTTAAATTATCAAAAACTGACTTGTGAACAGAAAACTTTAATAGGCCTATATCTATTAAATTGTGCAGTATAAAAATTATAATAAATTGGACCTCATAAAAATGTAAAACTTTTCATTTGCTCTGTTAAAAATATGAATAAAACTAGACCCGGTGAGGTGGCTCACGCCTATAATCCTACAACTCTGGGAGGCCAAGGTGGGTGGATCGCTTGAGCTCCCAATTTTGAGATCAGACTGAACAAAGTAAGACCCTGTCTCTATTAAAATAGAAAAACTGAAGCAAGAGGATCTCTTGCGCCCAAGAGTTGGAGGTTGTTGTGAGCTATGATGCCATGGTACTCTAGCACTCTACCCAGGGCAACAGCCTGAGACTCT